TAGGAAGAGAGTTATTATCCGACCAAGTCAAAAACCAACCCTTTAAATACATTTTCGAGTAGTACAATTTAATTTATCAGACTATTTCAACGGTTGCTTCCAACTTCTTAAATTCGTTGACAAAATGAATCAAACCCATATTTATTTCTATGTTTATCAAATTTGCGATTTTAATTGGTCAATCAACAAATAGCATGGGTTAAAATTTTGTGTTCCCAGAATGGTCTCTCCTGTTCTTATAAATTAGACTTTTTAAATAAATATATGTATACACAAACCCTAACCTTTGAAATTTCTTTATCATAAAAAAAAAAGCCTAAAGAAAAAGGTAAAAATTAATAGATTAAGTAAGATTTTTAATATTTCTATTCAAATTTTATAGCACCTAATCAAAGAATTTCATTGAGAAATACAAAAGCACAAAAACTTTCTAATGGAACTAGTTTCAACTCTGCATTGAGTGAAGCTGACAAAATCACAGAAAGATTGGCTGTTGCTATGGATAGGTTTTTAAAGTTAATATTTAATTAAATATTTAAACAATACTTTTATTATGCAGCAAATAGACAACAAAGAAAGATGTCTCAGTTCTTATCGTTACGATTACTGAACCAAATAGTGCTGGAGTGGGGTAATGGATGACAATATGCAAACGGATGATTCGAAAGATCAAGATAATGTTGTAAAATAATATTTCAAATGCATCAACGAAAGTTTTAATGTTCTCACTTGAGCGCTTTCGCCAAACCCGCAAATCTATTTGTGCAAATTTTTACTGGTTAAAAGCATTGAAGTAAATAACATATTGAGATAAAAATCCGCATCTCACAGTAAATCTCAATATTTTATTTATAACAATATGCCAACAATTTTAATACAATTTCTTCCAATTTATTTATACCATAAATCCTAACAACAATTTCCGCGAATATATATTTATGCTTTACTCTCAAAACTATATTCACTATCATTAAACAGTTCCTTATATTAAGAAATACTAAACAATATCTTCTTTAAATTATATCCTGATCACGTTTCTTAGTGGGTGCCCTTCTACAGTGCGGATCATCTATACTCAAAAGTTAAAATTTTTGAAATATTATGTGATCCACGCATTGGATTTTAAAAAACTTGCCACCATTCAATTCAGCTTTAAAAGGGGAGTCTATTAATCTAAAAAAAAAATTTGTCTCAAATTTTCTTTTCATAGA